CCCAGCCACATAACCTCCATCAGTTTCAGCTGACTCTGTTTTAACCACCCAACCATGGCCTCCAGTCCCTCCGCTAAATTTAGAGGAACGGCATTTGGTCACCCACCCATCAACAGAAATAGCTGGGTGTCATCCGCATACTGGTGACACCCCAGCTTGAAACTCCATGCTAGCTGGGTAAGCGGGTGCATGTAGATGGTAAATAACATTGGGGAGAAAAGTGCTCCTTAGGAGACTCTGCATTCCAGTGGGTACCCTGGAGACACTGTCCCTCCCAGTGCCACGCTCTGTCCCCAACCATGGAGGAATGAGGTGAACCATTGCAAGGCTCTCCCCCCCCCCCCGAATTCCAACATCAGTGAGGCAGTCAGTAGGTCGTAGTCAACTGTGTCGAATGCTGCTGTAAAATTGAGTAATATAAGCAGCGCCGACCTGCCTCCACCCAGCTGCCTGCAGAGATCATCTGTGAGGGCAACCAGCACTGTCTCCATCCTACGGCCAGGGCAGAAGCCGAATTGAAATAGATCCAACACTGATGTGTCATCCAGGAATTTCTGGATAATATTTGTGAAAACACTATGTCAGCCTACCACCGTAGAGAAGCATCATTTCCAAATGAATTTAAATCAGTTAAAGTCAAGAGGCACACAACAAAGGCAAAAGATACCAAAGCACGAATACCTTGACAATATTACAGACTATAGTGAGAAGCTGAAAGAGAAAATCAGTTTTATTGCTCTACTGACTGATATACATTTTAAGTGTAAGGCAGTCATTCAAATGTTAGCAATATAATAGTCACACTATTATATGCATCACTTACAACAGAGTGCCTTTCATGTTGCTGTGTCAGGGTCCAATGAAACCAAATGGGTTTCCTATTTATTGAAAGTACTTTTGTGCCGGTGTTTATTTTAAATCCCTCTACAATAACTCCCTTTCCCCCCTCCCCCAAAACAGGAACAAATCCATATTATTTTTGTATATTCTAGGAGGCTTCCCAATGAAGATAAGATCAAGAGAGTTTAGATAGGATTTACTTAGCACTACCAATAAAACCATTAGTGCTTGTGTGGCTTCTAAAAGGAGCATCTATGACATAATCGAGGGATTCATTTTCTGCTTCCAAAAACAAAGACTCTTCAAGACCACTTTTTAGAATGCATTGCAATCTACCGTACCTTTCAAACATTAAATATACATGTAGAAATACCAAGCCCCATTCTCTACTCTTCAAAGTGCATGAATGAAGTTTCCTTTGGGTTCAGGGTGGCTTGACCCCACAGTAATGTTCTGAATGTGCACTCACTCCATGGTATTGGTCTTTTTCCCAGGAAAGAGTTCATTCAGAGGGGTCTCTCATTCTAGGTTTGGAATAAAAACTCATGAAGCTGAGTTCTGCCACCACCGATTGCTTGGCTCATGTGTCAGTCACGGAGCCATCTTTCTGTGTTCTCAGATCTCAGATTTTTTTTAAGTGTGGAAAAACTTACAAAAATCAGCAGATAGCTTTGCCAACGGAGGGGAAGGGGGAATTCAACTAAAAACCAAAGTAGACGGCTCACCTGAAGCATAGTGGGAGTGGCAGCAGTCAGCATCTGATCCACACCTTGGAGAGTGTCATTACAGGAGTGAAAGGGAATGGGCAGCAGTGTTCCCTTCCCGTTTGCAGACTTGTCTGGAACTCAGCACTGGTACATCAACAACTCAGAGGACTCCTGGGACAGCAAGCACCCCAGGCATCATTTTTGATCCACCACTGCAAACATGTACAACCACCAGCAGATCTTACACAGATCTACAGCTACAGTTCCTTATCAAAAGCTCCTGAATAAACCAAGTAGCCATGGGGTTCTCGTGTGCACTGGGTACACACCGAGAAAGAAAAGGTGTTTGCAAACAAACAGTTCTCATAATGGGCAGAAACAAGTTAGAATTAAATTTATTCATAAGTAATCTGGAATTGGGAGTGGGCAGTGAAATTACCAAATTTGAAGTCAATACAAAAACGTTCAAGAATGTGAAAACCAAAGTGAATGCCAAATAATTGTAAGAGGATCTCTCTTAACTGGGTAAATGGGTAACAAGGATCAGTTTAAACAAAAAGCAATGCACATTGGTGCAACTTTCCACATATACTGGTAAAATATTAAGTGGTAGCAAATGATCAGGAAGATTTTAGCACTGTGGTGGACAGCTCAGTGAAAATGTTAGATCAGTGAAATTAGAAATTAGATTAGAAAATGAAAATGTTAAGTGTGCAGCAACAGAAAAAAAGGCAAATTATTAGAAAAATGGCCAGTATCATGATGTCCTTGTATATATTTATGGTGCAGCTGCATTTGCAATACTGTTGCAGTTCTACTTGACATACCTCAAACAGTATATTGCGGAGCTGGAAAATGTGAAGAATAACCAAAATTATTAAGGGACTAGAGCATCTTCCCTACAAGGAAGAATTTAAGTTTTTGTGAAGACCCAGTTACGAAAAGGTTTATAATAAAATTCAGCACAGCCAGATGAACTTGACAGAAATAACTTTCTCTCTCTCCCCCATATTAGAACTTGTGGGCACCCAATGAAAACAATGGACAGTAAATTCAGGATGGACCTTGAAAACACCAATAGGTTCCCTGTGCCTTTGATGTGTATAGTTTGCACTTTTGACAGCCAGTTTGGTGTAGTGGTTAAGTGTGCGGACTCTAATCTGGGAGAACCGGGTTTGATTCCCCACTCCTCCACTTGCACCTGGCTGGATGACCTTGGGCAAGCCGTAGTTTTAATAAGAGCTGTTCTTGAAAAAGAGCCATTTCTGTCAAGAGCTCTCTCAGCCCCACCTACCTCACAGGGTGTCTGTGTGGGGAGGGGAAGGGAAAGGAGTTTGTAAGCCGCTCTGAGACACCTTTGGGTAGTGAAGAGCAGGGTATAAATCCAATCTCTTCTTCTTCTTTTGAACCGGCACCTGACATTTCCCCCCAAAGCACTTTCCTGGAGGTATCTTTTTGGGGGGGCCATAACTCAGAACCCCTAAATTCAATCTTCACATACTTGGAGGACATGTAGGGGAGCATCGGGGGGGGGGGGGGTCCCCTGGGAGTTTGATGTCTCTAGCTTGCATAAGGTCCGTTCTAGACACACCTGAACCTGCACCTTTCGAAATGACTGCCTGTCATTTCCCCAGAAAGGACTTTCCTGGGGGCACACTCTTTGAAGGGCCATAACTCAGACCCTGTAAATCCAATCCTCACTAAACCTGGAGGGCCAGTAGAGGAGAGTCAGCCAGAGATGCCTTGCAAGTTTGGGGTCTCTCGCATGTGTGTGTGTGTGTGTGTGGGTGTTCTACTGCATCACAAACCAAACCAGTTCATTTGGCAGCTAAAAGTTTGTGATGGTTTGTGGTTCGTGAACCAGGCACACCGTGAACCACATATTAAACTGCATTTTCCCAGTTCCCTATTTTTGGCTATTGTGGGAAACAGGACATTGTGGGAAACAGGACGCTGGGCCTTTGCTCTTATCCAGTAGGACTCTTATGTTTTTGTGTTAAGGAGTCTTTTATCTCTTTAATTAAGGGGAAACTGTACTGCATTGGTAAGATATAACAGGAATTATTGCCTTGAAATTAGCACTTTCCTGTACAGCCCTTCTTTCCTTGCCACAGATAGGATGCAGTGGTAACTGCACAAGTACAAGCTCCTGCATGAGCTACTGCAACCACAGTTACACTGCTTGTAATGTATGTGGAGGGCGGGTGATACTCAAAAGCACTATTTAAATGCCAAATGCTATTTTGTTTGGTGCTTTGGAAGCTTTTAACCACATGACTTCATCTTTTTAAGAACGGTGTAGAACAGAGAGGTCATATCATTAGAAGACTATCTTTCTTTTGGATTAAATCAATTAGACCTAACACCAAGTTTCATGGTCTCTTCTATCTGCCCCTCTCCCTGCTAGAAGGCTGTGATTGACAGTAGAAGAATGATGAAGGCAAGACTGTTCAACTTTTCTCCTACTGCTGTTCATTCACTGAACTCATCTACCTAGACATGAAAAGCCCCAGAAAAAATCCCGGAAAAATTCAGGGGACAATAGTTTTTCCCCCAAGAACTTCTCAGTTTTTTCAATGGAAAAATTGGGAAATGTTAGGGAGCAGTGAAACAGACTCCTACAAAATATTTTCTGTTCTGCATGCTTTTTACAAGGGCTTACTCACTCAAAATCCATAGCATGTATTTTTAAATGTAAGACTCTACAGCATCACATAATCATTTCCTATGTATCCTGTAGACATATACAACATATCTTCAAGCATTTACTGTTTAAATTTGAATTAATATTTGTAAAAGCTAGTATGCTATAATGTGTTTAATGGTAGTACAATATTAAAGAGTTCAGTGTGTTCAATGTTATAAAGTTTAACTTGATACCCAAATATATGCTGTTAGTCTTTCTCTGACTGTATAAGATGGCTTCTATCCAAAAGAATATTTTCTTTTGTTTAGTACAAAATATTTTTTTCCATTTACCCCTACCTCTCAGATGGCAAAAATGAAGACAGATGTGCTACGGTAGCTTAGAGTGCAGCAGTATGCAGCTCTCTCTTGCATATTGGGTATATTGTAATTCTGCTTGTAGAAAACGTTGTCATTTATAATTTTGAATTCCATAAATATGACAGATATAACTTAATTACTGTGTAAAATTATACTAAGTGATCCATTTTGTGCTGTTAAAACAGGCAACACAAACAGTTTAGGTTTGACAGGTATCTAGATATTGCATATATTTTCAGTTTCCCCCAACATTTCTGGTGCGTGTGGGGGGAACCAAAACAAAACCCACAACCCAGAAAAAACACAGCTTCAGAATTTCTGGAAATGTTACTTCTCTAAATCACCTGAGCAGCTTTTCTCCCTGCAAGGGAAAATATTAAGCAGCCTCTCCCTCTCGCTTTTTATAGTCTTTCGTTTTCTAAAAAAAATGATCTGAGTCAAGTGGCACAGAACTCTACGTTGCATGTAGTTTAGATCCCAAGTTGTTCTACATGGAATATGATCATAATTCTTTCAAATTTAACATACTACACAAAATTACAGCTGTACAGGGGGTTTATACAGGAAAAAAGTGGAGATTAACTGTCAAAAACATCCAAGTTGGGTCAGGGTGCATGGTATGAATTACATCTTACTGATATCAGAATGTAGCAACATAAGCTTAAATCATATTGAGGCACAGGATCAAAAGAACAAACTTTCCTATTTAGACACCACTTTCTGTAAAGTGATCGGCAGTTGACAAACTAACCAAACAATCCTAAGTAGGTCTACTAAATTGGACTTTCTCCTAGAAAAGTGTTCTTAGGATTGCAGTGTAACCCAGTAATCATCAAACAGGCACAAGAGACTGCTAAACTGGACACACATAATTTGGTCTAACTGCATTCATCACCAAGTTAAGCAAAGTTAAACTTTATCTAAATGTACATTTTAATGAACATAACATGAAATTTTCAGATCCTATCACTTCTAAGTTAACAGCTAAATGTTTTATTGATGCAAAATCCTATCCATCTTACAGTCAGACAGGTGCTGTGACAGGATGTGGCAGCCTTTACATTCTAGGCAAACAGGAAGTTCTAAGTGTTGGTCTCATTTCTATATTATTACATTTTATAATTTGACCTCCATCCTAAAACTTCCACTTAATGAAATAATGAAGCCACTGAAAATGCAGATAAATTCCATCCATGCAAATTTGATTTTCAGAGTGCAAAACTGAAGTTGCTGCTTAGAAAGACATACATATACAGGTGCTAACACTATACACATTTACACACATGGTCAGGACTCAAGCACATGTCTGGTGACATAAAGCTGAGTAAATCAAATTGGGGTACTCTGACTAGTAATAAAGGATTTTACTAGTTTTGAATAAAGAATGGTAGGGAAGCCTGAACTGTCTTCTTGAAGTATCTAAGCAGTTATAACTTTCTCTCTGTCTAACAGACTGAACTGTACCCAACAGAAATTCTTTTCATAGTCTCTTATTGTCAAAACCTCACACATAAAAATACAACACAAAGATATGGAGGTGCATCTTGGTGTTCCACTGACCCCTCTCCCAACTCTAGCTTCACTGTTGTGAAGAGATTTTATCAGAATTTCCCTGGCTGCTTTCCAAGCCATGCTTTCTGTGAATCCATAGTTATTTAATCACGTTTTTCCAACTTTTAGCGTGAACCTTTTGTTTCTACTTAGTTCACAGTTTCCTTCTCTTATGAAATTTTATAGACTGCTGTGTCTTTTTAAATCATGGTTCACTAAACTCAATGTTCTGGGGCTCTAAATCTTCAGACCAAGTTTCCTTTTTGATCATTTTGCAAAGTATTCTATTTTAATGGTAAATGGTTTGTTATGGTCAGCATCTTAAAACCAAACTACTTATTACCGGCTGGCTGTTTTCTTGGTGCACTTCTCTAAAACAAAGGCTATATGATGCAACTTGAACTGTCATCCATCTTTATCAACTGGAATTTTTTTCAAGTCTATGAATCTGACTGGCTTGATGTTTTTCCTTACTGAACTTGGTTTAGAAGGAAAAGAATTTTTCAAATCCATAATTTAAGGGATTTTTTTTTTTTAAATGCACAGAATGTCTACTGCCAAGTGAAAGTTTCACTGCTTCGCAAGAATGATTTATATACAGAGAAGACATGAGCTTCTGAAATGGCCTAAAATCACTTTAAAGCACTACACAATATGGAGAACATAGTGTGTGTGTTTGTATATATATATATATTGAAATTGGTGGTAAGACCAGAAGACCCCCACTCATTTTTTAAAAAATATAACGATGACATTGTGCCATATAAAAATGCAGGATTGTGAGTTTCTTAAGCACACATTAAACTACACTAGAATTTCTGTTACATCATATTGCTGTGTAGGACACTACTGTCAAATAAGGAGTCAAGAACAATTTTGCCAATTCTTACCTAAGATTAGAAACTCACCTTTAAAAATAGTACCCCACCCTTTTGCTATACAGCTGTATAATCTAAGTGCAGTCACAGTGCAACCCTTTTTGTCATTTGTGACCCAGCTCACCACGCATGTTTTGGCAAACTAGTTAAAATAACTCACACCAAAAATGCTTAATGTCAGTCTTTTACAGTCCCCTCTGTTCTTGCTATTTCAGTCCCATAACAGGTCTTTCTATGGAAATAATTGGCTACTTAAGATTAGAGGAATTTGGAACAAAGCAGAGACTCATTTCCAAATGCAGGTGTCACCATTGTGATAGAAAAGTTGGCGAGTTATCGATTAGCTTTATATTTGGAAGCATCCCGGGGTTCACTGCTGGGGTTGCTCCAATCATCAGCTTCTGGTGTGGTCTTGTAATGTCGCCAGGCTGACTTATTAAAAACTGGCAGTCTTTCAAATGATTCACTGGAAAGAGCCTAAAAAATGAAAGGAGAGTTACAAGATCATACTTCAGGGTCCTACAAACAATAGATATGACAATGCTTACAGAGACTAGACTGCTCAAGTGAAGGGTGAGCATACAGGTGTGAGGCAGGACTGGATTTTTACTTTCATTAAATTGTTTTTGAAGCCACTGTGGTATGTGGATTCAGGTCCTCTTGCCAACCTTATTTGATACTGAAGCCCTGCTGACCTGGATGGTGTCCATCTGACTCAAAGATAGTATGAGTATGTCAAAAAAGCTTGTGAGGAGGAAAAACCTGGGACTTGCCATAAGTACACAAGATGTCACTGCCTGGTACAAACCAAACTAATAAAATAAAATATAGCTGTAAAACAGTGAATACAACATTTCCATAGATGTTGAGCCTTCTGATATTATGAGGCTTTAATACTCAAGCAGGAGAAACATGAAGTCTGACCAGTGCTATTCCTTATAAAACAATTGAGTTATTACCTTCAAATAAATTACAGCATCAGTCCCCACACCTTCCATTGAGTACAGTTTGAGATCACCTTGAAAATATCTTGCATAAAGACGAGAGATTGGCAGACCATACCCATATCCTGCCTAAAGGGGAAAGAAGGAACAATATGAGACTGTAAAATTAAGATGTTCTCTTTCCATTACTACCTTTAAAGTCTTACAAAGCCAAGGCCCAATATACCTTATACTGCTTTCACTCCTATGTTCCTTCCTGGGCTCCTGAGAAGTGGGAATGATACCCTTTACCTATGACAACAGTGCACTGGTCAGTGCATCGTTGTTGGTGACCCTTACATTATGGAATAGCCTCCAAACAGAAGTCGGCAGTCTCCACTATAGTGAGTAACTATAGTTAAACATAGTGAGCTATGTTTAACAAATTGCTTTAATTGTAAAAGCATTTCCAAAAATGGAAGTCTTTTAGCTTGTACTGGCTTTAAATGTGATTATTTTATTGACATTACAATTCTGCTGGAATTTTTGGATTTGATTTTGCGGCATTTTAAAAACAGGTTGCTTACCAGTAACTGGTGATCTTCGAGTGGTCATCTGTGCATTCACACCAATGGGTCCACTGGGATCTAGTGTGCCTGCGCTGGATCTGCCGGTGCCTAGCAAGCTCTCTTAAAAGGATTTTCGTACCTGGCCCAACTGAGCATGCTCAGGAGCCCCAGTGAGCATGCCCAGAAGGGCAGGCACGGACATCCCACCAGTTCCTACCAACCGCCGCGTATCAATCTCCTAATAAAACAGGTAGAAGAAGACAGCAGCGGGGCAGGAGGGCGGGTGGTGTGAATGCACAGATGACCACTCGAAGATCACCAGTTACTGGTAAGCAACCTGTTTATCTTCTTCGTGGTCTCTGTGCTTCACACCAATGGGAGATTAGCGAGCAGTAGCCTACCTGGAGGTGGGTGCTGTCAGGTGTTTACTGCTTAGCCGATGATAAAACCTGACGTCCCAGACTGTCACTGGTGGACTGGCGGACGTCTAGGGCGTAGTGCCTGATAAAGGTATTAGGCGTGGCCCAGGTTGCGGCTCTGCAAATGTCTTGCAGCTGTACTCCCTTCAAGAACGCAGTGGATGTAGCGACAGCCCTGGTAGAATGAGCCCGTACCGGGCCTGGCAACGGCTGTTTCGCTAGTAGGTAACACAGTTCTATCAGACCTACGATCCATTTGGATAGACGTTGGGCAGTGATTGGAGTGCCCACACGGGGTGTGACGTATGAGACAAACAGCTTAGGGGTTTGCCTGGTGGAGCGTGTCCTATTCAAGTAGAAGAGGAGGGCCCGCTTCACGTCTAGAGTGTGCATAAGTCTATCTTCTTGTGATTTTGGGTCAGGATAAAAATCAGGGAGGAAGACTTCAGACTGCAGATGGAATTCAGAGACCACCTTGGGCAAAAATGAAATGTCCGGCACCAGGCGCACGCCATCCGGGAGGAAGGACAAGTATGGCGAGTCATGATGGAAGGCCATGAGTTCACCGACTCGCCTGGCCGAGGTGACGGCGACGAGGAAGGCCGTCTTCCAGGCCAGGAGCTTCAGCTGACAGGTGGCAAGAGGTTCAAAGGGCCGTCTCGTCAGCTGGCGCAGGACCAAGGTCCCATAAAGCTGCTGGAGCTTTGACTGGAGGGTACAAACGTAGTAAACCTCTCAGGAAACGTTTGGTAACGGGATGGGAAAACAGGGTGCAACCATCAACACGAACGTGAAAGGCCGATAACGCGGCCAGGTAAACCTTCAACAAGGAGAAGGTGAGCCCCGAGTCAGCCAGGGATAGGATGAACGTGAAAACCTTATCGAGGCCAGCAGTCGTGGCTGTAAAGGCGTCAGTGTTCAAAAAGGAACAGAAGCGTTTCCACTTGTAATCGTAGGATTCACGTGTGGACGCTTTTCGAGAGTGGCGCCAGGAACGGATGAAGAAAAACAGACAGGTTGTGCTGATGTGGGGACAGGGAAGTCAAAGGCTCTGCTTGGATGACTTGGCCTGCTTGGAACGAGATGTATGTAGGGTAGTACCAGCCTTCGTCCTCTGGAAGGAGGACTTTTGGCTGCCAGAATAAGACCTAGGCCTCCATCTGGTGTCCGGTGACTGACGGGACGACGGGACTCTCTGCCAAGAGCGGGACCAAGACCTCGGTTTACCCGAATGCCGGGATGTAGAGGAGATCCCTAGAGACTAGGAGGCCTTAATACTCCTGTCGAGATCCTACAACGAGGAGTCCGTATTGGCATGGAAGAGGCCCAGGCCATCGAAAGGCATATCCTCGACCAACGAGCGAGTGTCGAAGGGGAGAGAAATCGTTCTCAGCCACGAATGTCGTCTAAGCGCCACTGCCTATGTCATGGTCTTTGAGGAGGCCTCCAGGACATGCTTGGTCGTCGACAACTGCTGTTCAGTGACCACCATGCCTTCTTTCTGGAGTAGTTTTGCAACATATAGCTTGTCCTCAGGGAGACGCACCAAGAGTTCGGACATCTGTTCCCACAGGGTGTACTGGTATCGGCCCATGCAGGCGAGATAGTTTGAAGCTTTCACAGCCAACGCTCCCGTAGAGTAGAAGCGGCGGCCAAATGCATCCAACTTTTTGCCCTCCCTATCGGAAGGAGCAGATTGCGATTTTTTGGACTTGGAGGACGAGGAGACGACTAAGGAATTTGGTTAAGGATGGGTGAGGAGGAACTCTGCCGCAGTTTGCTGAATGCGGTACATGTGGTCCAATTTTTTACTAAAGACAGGGGCAGACGATGGTTTTTGCCAAGGAGTTTTTGCTGCTTGTAGCAAGACTGACGACATTGGAAGCTCGAAGACTGAGGATGTGTCGAGTTGGACGATATCGTATAGGGAATCCGTAGATTGAGGATCCTTTGGAACAATTGACAAACCCAACGCGTGGGCCATTCGTTTTATGAGGTCGGTGTATGACGACAAGGTATCCGATGGAGATATAGGAAGGTTTTGGAAAACGTCGGTGGTAAGGGACGAGTTATCCGGCGACGTTGGAGCCTCGGATAGCTCGGTATCGGAACCTGATTCCGAAGGCTCTGAAGAATCAGGCTCCCCAGTCGGGGCAGGCTGATGTGGAGACGGAGCAGGTGGCTGGATTGGTGCAGCCGTCATGACGGCAGATGTTCCCGACAGTGGAACAGCGTCCGCCTGAGGAGGACAAGAGACCATTGCAGATGGTCTCGATCGCCTCGGGGAACGAGACCTGTGGGAAGATCGACAGGAGTATCTGTCCCAGTCAGTGTATCCCGTATGGCCCAGCCAAGGCATCGGAGGGTGGTACGGACCGTATGGATAACAGTACTGCCTTTCATCCCAAGACATCGATGGCGGCATGCACGACCTTGGGGAACGGCTCCTCGACCTTGGACGACGTCGGGAAAACCTTGACAGAAGAGCATACGTGCCCCTTCTACAGTCAAAGGTGTCGATATCGACAGACTCAGGCGACAGACGGGGAGGCCGACGCTCCGCACTGGATCTTGAGCGTCGATGCCGACGGCTGTCGATGTCGGGAGGCTCTGAGGCGATCGATGCCGAGGAGCTGGATGGACCGGGGGAACACTCCGCACCCAACTGGTGACTTCCGAGTTCCATTTGGTCGATATCGTACAAGCCTGTCTCCAC